AATTTTGTTATCTATCCGTTTTACTATCTATCTATCTATCCATCCATCCATCTATCTATCCATCCATCCATCCATCCGTCCGTCCATCTATCTATCCATCCATAAATCCATCCATCCATCCATAAATCCATCCATCCATCCATCTATCCATTCATCTATATTTCTATCTATCTGTCTCTATTTCTAGCCATTCATGCGAGTGACAGCGATTGACCACTATGCAAAGAAATCAGAATAATGCGCCATTGTGTCTTTAATTTGTCCTTCTTTTTTATCTTTGGCTCTTTTTGTTTACGTTCTTTATTGTCGCTCATGGCTATTGCATGCGCTCTTTTATTAACTTTTCCTCATTTGATGTTTCTTCGCTTATGTGTGTGTGTGTGCGTGTGTGTGTATGTGTGTGTGTGTATGACAGACGTATGTGAATGTATGTATTGTATGTGTTTGTGCGTGTGTGTGTGCGTGAACAAGAGCGAGGATAAAGATGATTTTTGCTTTCATTGTTTCTACAGTCTAGTTGTTTCTTTTTCTGTGGTTTTGCTCGAGACACAGGAAAGAATACTTTTTAGCTTTTTGTGGTTCCATGTCGTTTTTTAATTGTTATGTTTGTGGTTTATTTTTAAAACCATTCATTTTATTTTTCTTCTTTGGTATTCACTTTCTGTCAGACGCCAAAAATGTTACAACATGCAAGAGAATACATCGAAATAGAGTTAAGTATAAAAGAATAAGGTAATATGTTGAGATAGTTAATAAAATAAAATTATAAAATTGAATAAAGAAAAAAAGAAAGAAATTGGCTTTTTTTGACTGTGTTTTTAGTTTAGATACAAGTATTCAATTGCATACAATTATTTCAATACTTTCGTTTTATTTGTAGTTTAACTCAAAAGAGATGAAATGAGTTAAATGGAGTGTATTATTTAAAAAGCGATAAAGGGCCGGCGAGTAGGTCAAAATTAAACCGGACAGCATCTTGTACTGCTGGGTTAAGCGGCTCTCTTTTGTTTGTTAACAATAATGTAACGTGTCCATGGTTAATATCGCACAGAAATTGTACATTTTTGGTTTGCCGCTCTAAAAAATTTCAATAATTTTAGCAAAATCAGTAATGAGTTGTCTCAATATCTGGAAAGTATTTTTGACTTTGACAACAATTCTAACGTCAACTCATCCACACTTTCTAAAGTTGAAACAAAAATCGTTAAAGCCACCAAATGTTTTTTTTATTAATTTAAACTTAAATTATTGAAATTAAAATTGATTTTATTGAAAACTAATTCAAATTCGTATGCTAGTATTGTGTTGTAAAGACAAGAGGTTAATGTTTATGACACCATTAAATCAGCCGGTGGTGAGGCCATGAATGTCCATGAAAAGCTTGACCAGGGCAGTGAAATTGAAAGGTATGTGGTTTAAATTTGAAAAATCTTTTTCTTTTAACGACAACAGATTTTAACAATAACAATTAATCGTTAAGTTGTGCAAAAATGAGGCAACTCGAAGTCGTTTATTTTTAGAGTCTTGGATCGAAAAATGATAATACATCGATCATATTTATATTTGACTTATGCTTGTTCACGCAGCACTTAACCATGGAATAATATTAATTTAGCCCGCACTCCAGCAGAAGCATGATGTTGAGGATAAGAAAATTATTATAAATCTGAAACGGAAATCTGCAAGATCGCTAGAATTCTTCAATGACGATACAGACCAATAAACTAAAAATAAAACTGTTTCTGCTCAATTTTACGTTGTGCAATAGTAATATTTTAAAAAATATATGTGAGACATCAGGGACCACCATGAAATAAATAACATTAATTTAGTTCTTATTAATATTAATATTATTGGGTCCTTTGTATAGTATAGCAGTGTCTGTCTCATCTTTTTACCGGTTCAAGAAATTCTTCGCGGTTGTTGGTTGGTCCAACTGCGTAGAAAAGTTTGTCTGCTTTTTATCCGCCTATTCCGGTCTCTCAATTTCTTCATTTTAAAAATGGTTAAGAACGTTTATTTAGCACTGTAATGGAAAATTATTTTACGTGGTTTTTTAGGCTTATAAATTCACACACACAAACATACGTACAAACACACACATACATACATACAAACAAACACACACACACACACACATGAATACAATCATAAATACATACATACTTACATACACAATGACATACGCTATGGAAACATACACGTATGCATGGAAGCGATGAATTTTATATAAAGGAAAGTTATGATAATGTCTCGAAAGGTCTCGACAAGCAAGCAATCGTCATAAAGGAACCTATTCTCGATAACATTACATTTGCATAACATAAACATCTACATCAAATCATCATATAAACATATACAGAAACATAAATTATACAACGAATCTTAGCAATCATTTGATAATACTTGGATAGTTTAAAACTCTCTTAACACACACTCCATCCACACTTTGTGTTAATGTATTTATGAATATTTGCTGAGAAAAACATTTTAAAAAAATGTGCGTATAATTATTATTTATATACTTATATACATATATTCGAGTTAGTTCAGATGGTAAGAGCGCCATACTTGAGTTTGTTATAAATGCGTGATAACGTGGTCCAAACGCCGTCTGTTCAAAATCCAAAGACTATCATAAGCCTCGAATGATCCATAGTAGATAGGTACTCGTGATTATGATACGTACAAATGTTTATGAATGTCTTTCTGTGGTGTCAGCGCTGTAGTCTTTTATGTATAAAAAGTTAATTGCTGCTAAGCATTGAAGAACGATATGATAGCAGCTAGCTATGTGATTCTTTGAGGTTGACAAAAAAAATATCCAATGTAAGAACTTGTGTCGTTCTATTTGTTTATTTATTTTAGACAAGCGATTCTAACACAGAAAGCTGCAGAGAATAATTTACTTTTTTTAAATGAATTTGTTAAAAACATTTTCATGACTAAGAGCCGTAAGTTAGAGCCCTGGACAATTTCTAAAGAAATGGAAAAAGAGATTAACGCTGCTGAGATGCGGTTTTTGAGAAGATTTATGAAAATTAGTGGGACCTCTCATACTTCGAATGAAGATGTATTAAAACAGTCCGGTTATGAAAAGAGGAAATTACTACAGATAATCCGACGGGGGCAGTTAAAGTTTTTTGATCACATCATGCGGAATGAAAGAATGGAAAATCTAACAACTACTGGAAAGATTGCAGAGAAAAGAGATCGCTGTCAACAACGAATAACATTCGTGAAGTCCTTGTGTCACTTGTTCAATATCACTCAATTTCAACTACTACAAAGTGTTGAAGATCGCGTTTTGTGGAGGTCGATGGTCGCCAATGTCCTGAAAGGATAAGGCACGTGAAAGAAGAAGAAGAAAAAAAAGGAAAACATTTTCACTTATGCAGAATTTGAAAAATTTTAATTATCATTGTGGTTGCTGTCGTTCCGTGGAGTGATGTGAGCAATTGCTCCCATTACACAAGTCAAACCTCAGCTGAATTCGTTGTGTGGAGATGAAGACTTCAAAATTAAAAAGTATTACAAATAGTTCATGCTACCCTTTAAATGTTGTTTTTTTATATTTAACATTTAAAAATGTTTTTTAATAAAAAATTGTTTCATTGAATTATGTTTTTACTCTATTTATTCATTTATTTGCTCATTCTGATTATATTTATAAAGTCACAATGATAAAAATCAGGTACGATAATCTTTCGTTCCCTATTTTGCAGTGTTGTTAATTTTGTTCATTGAAGTTCTTATTTAACGTCCAGATTTGAATGGAATATAATATTAAATTTAGTGCTGAGAAGCAGAAGCGATTATCCTTCAATCACATTTTTTCGGCATTTTTCAAAAAAGAAAAACTTATTTGAAAAATTGAAATCAATGTAATCATCAACAAAAATTGAAAATTACTTACTATATGATAATAATTAAATTAAAAAAATAAATATTTATAGCATTGTTACATTGCAATAAGTTATCACATCGCACATTTTAAAATAAATACGGAAGAACACAGCTTAAGCGTTTAAATTTCTAGAAAGAAGTTTTTTGTAGGTTGATCTTATTTAAATACCTGATAATAATTAATAATTTATGTTGGGAATATAATTTTTTATTTATCATGTGGATGGTTTAACCATGGATTTAACACCTGACTCGAGCGTAGCCAGGCCAAATAGTGAATTATGCTTGCTTCCTGTGAGCTTAATGCTTTTGAATTCGTGACATCACTGTAGAAGAACCTATCAAAATTCAGATATCAACGTTCGTGAAATTTCAAAGACAACGCCAACGATTTTTTATTGAAATTTTTACGTACTGTCAATTTGAAAGGTTGTCATCAAGTGTTCCTGACATCTGTCGGTAAAATCTGAAGAACCAATTTTGGATCTTCCATAAACATGCTATACCTGGTGACTCAAATTAATAAATGTTTATATATTTTGTAAGTTTGTTGAAATAATTAACTCTCAATAATAATTTGATTGCAGAGAATAAAATTAAATGTCAAATTAAACACACATAAAAGAATTTGTTGGTTGACTGGTATCTTAATTGCTTTGTTAACTGACTAACCAAACAACCGACTCACTAGCTAACTTACTGACACTATAATCATTCTCAAGATCGTCATCTCATCATCCCTCCAACAAAAAAACTTTTGAAACATTGCACGTAGATCCCTTACCAAACAGGTGATGTTAAAAAACATCTACTTCTAACTCCTCTACTCTTACTTTCGGGGCACCTCAGGGTTCTATCCTTGGCCCTCTTCTATTTATACTCTATACTTCTGAACTACTAATATATTACTACTGAACTATTAATAACTTTTCTTTCTCTAGTCAACTATATGCTGATGATTCTTACATTTATACTTCTTTTCCTCCATCTAATCTTAATAGTGTTCTTCATAATTTATCTTTATGTCTTTCTTCAATTATCGCTTGGTCTGACTCTATGTGTCTTAAACTTAATCCTTCTAAGTTTGAATTAATTTGTTTTAATAAATCTAAACACTCTATTACTATTCCTCCTATTATCTTACCTGATTCTAAAACTCTTGATGTCTCTCATAAGTTTCGTAGTCTAGGTTTTATCTTTGATTCTACTATGTCTCTCTCTTCTCAGATTAATAGTGTTGCTAGAAGCTCTTACTTTCATCTACGTAGAATAAAAAAACTTTTGCCTTTTCTTGATGATCTTACTCTTCTCCTTCTTGTTACTTCGTTAGTCTTATCTAGGATTGTTTATTGTAACTCGTTCTACTATGGTCTTCCTGACTCTATACTCTATCCTTTAAGTAAAGCTTTTAACTCTGCTGCTCGTCTAGTTGCTCGTGCCCCTTTCTTTTCTCCATATATCTCCCTATCTTGTTCTCTTGTACTGGCTACCTATAAAATATAGAATAATTTTTAAAATTTGCACGTTCATGTATAAGTCTCAATCTAAATTATTTCCTAAATATTTATCAGATATATTTATTGAACCTAAACGCCCCGGTTTACGATCGTCTTCTTCTCGCTTTTCTTAACTCGTGTTAAACACTCTTTTGCCAAATCTGCTTTTGCTTTTTCTGGTCCTTTTCTCTGGAACTCTCTACCTACTTCCCTGACTACTTCTCCTTCACTTGCGAAGTTCAGAGCGGATCTCAAGACCCATCTGTTTTCAAAATTCATTGAGGAGCGCTGTTGAACATCGCGGGAATAGTGCTTTATAAGCTAATTGATTGATTGATTGATTGATTGATTGGTTGGTTGGTTGATTGATTGATTGATTGATTGATTGATTGATTGATTGATTGATTGATTGATTGATTGATTGATTGATTGATTGATTGATTGATTGATTGATTGATTGATTGATTGATTGATTGATTGATTGATTGATTGATTGATTGATTGATTGATTGATTGATTGATTGATTGATTGATTGATTGATTGATTGATTGATTGATTGATTGATTGATTGATTGATTGATTGATTGATTGATTGATTGATTGATTGATTGATTGATTGATTGATTGATTGATTGATTGATTGATTGATTGATTGATTGATTGATTGATTGATTGATTGATTGATTGATTGATTGATTAATCCGAGATATCTCCTCTCCGTACATATAAAGTGTTGTATGCAATGCATATGTATAAATTTATTACACACACACACACCGAAGATGGTATAGGAATACCGATAAAAGCTATTTTGCTCTATCATGCATAAAACAAACAAAAACTTTGAACAAACTAAAGAAACGTGAAAATGATTAACGATCAACCGTTAGAAAGATCGAAAAGTTAAATTGGAATGGAAATTAACTAACGCCAAACATGCTGTGATTTTCATCAAAAATTATATATATATATATATTTTATATTTTATTACCAACATATATATATTATTACCAACATATATATATATATATATATATATATATATATATATATATGTATATATATATATATATATACACTCACATACACACACGCACATATGTATGCAAACAATAATATTTTGAAAAATAAATTAATATACTGTTCATGCAACCAACTAACTAAGCAATTTACCTTGGGAAACAAAAAAAAATAACAAAACCAGTTATACGCTCTTCATGTATTATATATATATATATATATATATATATATATATATATATATATATGTATATATGTGTGTGTGTGTGTGTGTGTGTGTGAGTGTGTGTAAGTGTGTGTGAGTGTGTGCGTGTGTGTGAGTGTGTGTGTGTGTGTGTGTGTGTGTGTTGGAAGGAGACCATATTTTATACAGTAATGTATGAATTATGAATTCTACCGAATTGTTGGCATTAATCAAAATTTAAATCAAAAGACAAACTTTAAATTGATTAATGCCAACAATTCGGTTGAATTCATACAATACTGTATATGTATATATATATATATATATGTATATATATATATATATTGTGAAATTATTATTTCTGTTTAATTCTTATCTGAGGTTGCGTTGCTTTGTGTTGTTTCGTTCTTACCACCGCTAAGAATAACAACATACTGTTTGTTTTTTTCTTTCATTTTATGAAATAAAATCTGTGAAATGTTATGATCATTATTTCACTATAACAATTTTATTTTATTGTTACGTTGTAACAATAACGTTACGTAGTAAGCAAAACAATAAGTGCACTGCTTAATATTGCTTTACCCCTTTTATGTTGAACTTTTTTTTGGGGTATTATTAGTTGTATCCAATGTTTGATATGGATATCTGGTATATAGATATACATCAAAATAGAATATATACTTATATGTACGTATATATATATATATATATATATATATATATATATATATATATATTGAATACATATATATATATATTTGTATATAGACTTTCATATGTAGAATGTAATATTTAGTCACTACTTTTTCACTTAGGAAAGTTTGGAATTAAAGTTTAGTCTTGAGTTACGGAAAATTATTTACCAAATATTAATTAATTAATATTTTATTAATTAATTAATATTTTATTATGATTACTTGAAATAATTAAAATTATAATATTCAAATATAAACATTAATTATTTATTTATTTGAATAGGTGTCAGAATAGGAATCCGTTGATTGCTGACGCAGGTATGTTAATACAAATTTGTATCATTTACCATTGTATGTATCATATATCGTATCATTTGTACGTTATATCTTTTTGTATCATTTGTATCTTATTCTTTTAGTTGATCTGCAGTTTCCTCCGTAACTTTCCAATGATTTAAAAGAGGGTTAGTCTGCCAGGCTTAATTTAAATGTTTCAATTCGTTTGTATATTTCTTATATATATTTTTTTTGTTTGCTTTGTACGTACAAACCACGCCAGACGTTCCAGTCTGTGCTCCATTTTCATCATAAACGTATTTTTGTAACTCGTCGTATTATCTTTCTACCTTCAATTTTATTGAACTTTTGTAATGTTGCTAACAAATTATTATCACACGTCAGCAACAGCAGCAAGAATGATTGAAAAACTCAAGACGGACTGCAACCTGATGGGGGGTTGCGAGGGAAAGCGCAACAATAGTTGCAAAACTTTCTATTATTTTCCAACACTATTAGTTTTCTTGCTAATAGCAGTTTTGCTGTTTATTTCGTTAACGCCAACCGACGCTCAACAAAAGCAGCAGCCTCAGCGACAACAGCTGCCACAAAAACAAGCACAGCCACAAAAACAACAAATCCTTAGCAAAACTCCAACTGTAAAGGATTTGCCAAAATTTGTACCAGCAAAACCCGCAGCAAAAATTCAACAACCAGTTAAGCAGCAACAAAAACCAAAACCAGCTCCACAACCAATAAAACTACAACAACAACAACAAAAAGTTCAACTTCAGCAAATAAAAAAGCAACCTCCTGCAAAAACATCACCAGCTCAAAAAACCGTCGTCTCAAAATTGCAACAAAAGATTGTGAACAAAATTCCAGAAAAAATTGTTGCTAAAATACAAACTCCTGCAAAGTCCACAAAGCCAACAGCACCGGTAAAGCCCACCGCAGAAAAACCCAAAGTTGTCCAGTCAATCAAAGGCGGTAAACCACCTGTCCCCGTGAAACCATTTCAACCACCCGTCTTCAAAAAAGTTCACATTTTTTTTATAATTATTTGTTTAAGCTTCTAAATTAAAAATGTTTCCTTTCATAACGTCATGCCCTATTGAAACCATAATAGTTTAACCCACTTGCATATATTTAAAAATATGTAGGTCAAAGCAAGAAAACTAACAACCAATCAAATTAAGGATAGCGATAAAGATGGCATTCCGGACTATCTGGAACATTCTCTGAAGGGGATTGACAAGAAGAGAGATACTGATAAGGATGGTGAGTGTGATGATGATGATGTTGAGGCTGATGACAACGATAAAAATAGAAACTATTTTAAAATATTGACTTAATTATAGTGAAGAGATTGTGGTGATAAATTTTAAATGCTGCAAAGTTGATGTCAAAATATAAATAACATTGTTAACAATTACTTACAATGATATCATTACCTAAATTATCAACATGAAAAGTTAATACTTACCTACCATCATCGTAATTTTTGCATTACCTTCATAATCTTTCTTATCGTCATCTTTTTCATCATCATTAGTATCTTTATTGTCATCGTTATTTCTCCTTATCAAATCATCGCCATCATCTTCATCATAATTTTCATATCATTTTTTTCATAATTTTCTCTATAGCGTTTATCAGAGGCATCACCAACCAAACACACAGTGCACGTAAACACTTAAAAACACGTGAATCAAAATCAATATGTTGACGGACGGGGATCTCGAACCCTGTAACTGCAAAACAAGTTCCAGGCACTTTAACCACTCCACTATCGCGCCATTACCGTCACTATCTTCATCCTTTTCTTCATCATCACCTTCACCATCGTTACGACGGTAATCACAATCTATTGATCATGCAATACAGGTAAGCCGGATTACTTAGATGAGGACGATGACAACGATGGGATTCTGGATGAATTCGACCTGGACAAGAATGGAGATGGGATACTGGATAAGTTTCAAGATAAGGATGGAGTGAGTACTGATGAGGATGGTGATTATAATAACAAGGATAATGATATGATGGCAATGATGACTAGAGATAAATATAAATACCATTTTGATGGTAATATCGATAATCGGAATGACAATAATGACGATGATATGGCAATAGTGATGATGATAATGAAGATGATGATGAAGAAGAAGATGATGATGATGATGATGAAGAGGATGATGATGATGATAGCTGCCGAGTTTATGACAACGCCATGCCTGCTACCCCTAAATTGATCCTTAATTTAAAAATTAGCCACGTTGGGAGTATTAGAAATAAGGACTGCAATATTTCATCATTATTATTACTATTATTATTATTATTATTAATAGTAGTTGTAGTAGTAGTAGTAGTAGTAGTAGTAGTAGTAGTTAGTAGCAGCAGCAGTAGTAATTAGTAGAAGCATTATCATTTTTTGGAATAAATTGCTAGTGTTACTAATAATTTTACTGCTGCTTCTACGACAACTGCTGCCACTACTACTGCGGCTACTACTACTACTACTACTACTACTACTAACAATTCTGAAATCAGTAGTAACGGTGATGCTAATTAGTAATAGTAATTACTTAGAAGTAATCGGGTATTTAGACAGCTGCAGAAGAGAGAGAAGTTACGTTACAAATTTTTTTTTAATCTAGGCCTTGCGGTTTTATTGCAATAGGAAGTAAGTAAAAAAGGTAAAAGTGCATTAGTGATAGAATGTTGTATGATGTACATTATTAACCACGTCGTCATCATTGTCGCAGCAACCATCATCGTCGTCGTCATCGTCGCCATGATAAACTTCATCAATAATAAAATCCTAAACGCCGTGCATCACGTGACTAGGATGGCATACCCGATTACCTGGATGATGACGACGATGGTGATGGCATTCCGGATGGCGATGATGAAGACGACGACGATACGGACGGTGATGGGACAAATGATGATAAGGATACTGATGATGATGATGACGGACTTCTGGGTGAGTACTGGTAATGTGTGTGGTTATGGTCTGGTGTGTTGTAGTGCTAATGATAATTGTGAGTACAATGATGATGAAGATAGTGATGATGATGAGGATGGTGATTATGTCGTTAAATAATGATAATGATGCCAATGACTGCTGCAGTTGAGTAAGATTGTTATCATTGTCATTATTATTATTATTATTATTATTATTATTATTATTGCTGCTGTTATTATTATTATTAACATGATTATAATTGGAATAAATAACAACAAAAAACGAAAAAACTTTTCCATCCATGAAGACTTGTAACTTGGAAATAAATGCATACGTGCACTTAACTATAAAAACACAACTTTATGTAAATAAATTTTTACATATATCGTACAAACAAATAAACATTTAAACATACAAAACAGAGTATAGTGTGAATTAACAGATACAGGAAAACTATAACATTTACACGAAAACAAATGCATTTTTATAGAAACGTAAAACTTAAATAAACAAACAAAAACATATATACAATCAAACAAACAATGAAATACATATACATACAATCATACACGCAAACAAACATACACACAAACATATTATACACAGACAAACATACAAACAAATCATACAGCAAACAAACAAAAAACAAACAAACGAATCTTTCAAACTGCCTCTTCTTACATTTGGTTCATCGTTATGTTTTATTTTTAAATTCCAACAGCAATGGTTTGGTGTTCGCGAAAGGTTGTATGGCGTGAAATATACATATCTAATGCATGTGCATACAAATTGTAGAGCTTACAAAGTGTACAACATACAAAGTATACATGTACACAGACATCTATGTTTGTGTTGTGTATGTATTTAGACATGTGGTACATCCTGTATATCTTTTTGTATATTTTTTTGTATATACAAATAATGGATGTTTTGTTTATGCGCTAATGTTTTTGATCACGTACATGTCGATGTTGTTTCGGCTTCACCAGTATCTCACTTATATATTAGTACACAACTCATGCTAGTTTTTATAAATCTCGTCTGCATAGGTTCACTTTTTAGCAGTTAGCAAGCAAGTATATATATATATATATATATATATATATATATATATATATATATATATATATATATGAGTGTGTGTATTTATGTATTTGTGTGTGTTGTGTGTGTGTGTGTATTTGTTTATGTATATGTGTGTGTGTTTGTGTGTGTGCGTGATGTGTGTTTGTATGATAATTACACCTTTGGTAAAGTAAGTACTTATTAATATGCAGAAATATCAATGATTTTACGAAAATAACAATAGTAAATATATGCTGTATCTTGCTGCTTGGCGAATAATTATGATGAAAACGGAAGAATATTCCTTAGAGTAATTTTGTTTTTCTAATTCATTCACCCACTCATCTGCTCATTCATTTATTGGCTTGTTTATTCTTTCATTCATTCATTTATTCATCAATTTTTGGCATTTTGTCCTTCATACAACACCTCCAAGTGAACATTCATCCATCTTTCAATCATTCACTCAATCCATCCATTCTTCAATCACTCTATCTATCCATCCTTCAAGCATTCCACCTATCCATCCTTCCATCCTTCAATCACTCCATCCATCCTTCAATCACTCCATCTATCCATACATCCTTCAATCACTCCATTCATCCATCCTTCAATCACTCCATCTATCCATTCATCCTTCAATTACACCATCCATCCATCCACGAACTAGACTCGCAGGATACAGATGATGACAACAATGGCATTCCAGACTCACTCGAAAAGTCCTTGAAAGGAATCGACTTAACCGTCGATACGGACAACGACGGTATACCCGATTACCTGGATGACGACGACGATAACGATGGCATCCCTGATTATCGGGATCTCGATAAGGACGGAGATGGGCAGGCGGATTCAACACAGGATTCGGATCGAGATGGAATTCCGGATTATTTGGACGCAGATGCCGATGGAAACGGTGTTTTAGACGCCCTACAGCACCGCGATAGTGATGGAGATGGTGTCGTTGATAGTGAAGATGAAGACGACGACGACGATGGTATACCGGACAGAAAAGATAAGGACCGTGATGGCGATGGACTGAATGACGCAACTGTCGATCCGGATTTTCGTGATTCTGACGGTGACGGGATACCAGATTCCCTGGATGACGACGACGATAACGACGGCATTCCCGATCGTGAAGATGACGACGACGATGGCGATGGAATACCCGACTGGCTTGACCTCGATAACCGAGATACGGACGGAGACGGTATTCCTGATTTTCTCGACGATGATGACGACAACGATGGCATACCGGATGACGAGGATGCAGATAAGGATGGGGATGGCATAGAGGATACTTCAGATCCGGATTTTATAGATACGGACAAAGATGGCATACCGGATTATTATGATGACGACGACGACAATGACGGTATTCCCGATATTGACGATACTGATGATGACAATGATGGCATACCGGACTGGCTAGACTTAAATGACAGGTCTGTAAAACTGGAGCGTTAATTGTAAAAAAATTATTTTTAAAAATTCATTTTACTTTAAATTTCCATTTTTATAGTTAACAAATTTCATTGAAATTCACTTCAAAATTTTTATACAACTAATATTATATACTATCACCACCAAAATAGGCATATTTATAAGAAGCAATTTTTAAAACCCAACAATAACCACTAAAAATTTCCGAAAAACAGAGACACGGACAGCGATGGCATAAAAGATCGATACGATCCAGATGACGATAATGACGGTATAATCGACAAATATGATTTGGACTCGGACGGCGACAGCATCCCCGATATATATGATCCCGATCAGGTGGATACCGACGGAGATGGAATACCGGATTCGCTAGATAAAGACGATGATAATGACGGCATTCCGGATTATCTCGATCCAGACGATAATAATAATGGTTATTTTGTAAAATTTTTATGATGAATTAAATCAATTTTAAGTTCACTGTTTTGTAATTTTAAACAAAAGTTTAAAAAATTTAGCAAGCAAAAAGGTACGTATTATTAATAAACCTACGAAACTGTTTGCTAGCCTGTAATAAATATAAACACTTAAACAGGCATCCCAGATCTGCTGGAAGTGCATCTGAGTCTGGTAGACAAGTCACGTGACACTGACAACGACGGAATACCGGACTATCTCGATCCCGACGATGATAACGATGGTATACCGGATTTCAAAGGTACCAAATAAAAATTCAAACAATTTCATTTTTCCTTTTGAATATGCTTCCAATTATATAAATAAAGGCACAGGCATATGCAGATTAAAATTTGAATATAAAATTGAAAAATTATTTGTTTGTAAGTAAACCTGGTAATATAAATATAGTTAATATTATTCAAGGAATTAAATAATATAATGAATAATAATGAAATATGATGACCTACTTGTTTAACGCAGACGCAGACGATAACAACGACGGCATAGATGATAAACTGCAAGACACAGATGGAGATGGCATGCCGGACTGGCTAGACGGTGACGACGATAACGATTCGATACCGGATTTACTTGATATTGATACCCGAGATACTGACAGCGATGGCATACCGGATATTTTAGATAGGGACGACGATAATGATGGTCTGGTAGATGAAGATGATGACGACGACGATAATGATGGTATTCCTGATCATCTTGATCCGGATCATAAGGATACCGATGGGGATGGTATTCCAGATTGGTTAGACAAGGATGATGATAACGATGGAATACCGGACGTTTTGGACCCAGATGCTGATGGGGATGGCCAACTAGACATATTCGATCCGGACCGTAGAGATACCGACGGAGATGGAATACCAGATTATAGAGACTACGATGACGATAACGATGGCATTCCAGATTCTCGTGATCCGGATATAGATGGAGACGGAATACCAAACAAATTCGATCCAGATACCAGAGATACCGACAATGACGGAGTGCCAGATTGGCTCGATTTGGATGATGACAATGATGGTATACCCGACTCAAAAGATAAGGATTCCGATGGAGATGGAATTCCTGATAAAGACGATATCGATTTCAAGGACACCGACAACGACGGCATCCCGGATTGGCTGGATTCTGATGACGACAACGATGGTATTCCCGATCAATTTGATGATGACGACGATGGGGATGGAGTGCTTGACATTTTCGATTCCGATTTTATTGACACTGACCACGACGGAATTCCAGATTCAGTCGATACGGACAAAGATGGAGACGGTAGATCCGATATCGATTCGGACGGTGATGGGATACCGGATGATGAAGACGATGATGATGATAACGACGGAATTCCCGATGACTTAGAAGCAGATGAAGATAATGACGGCATCCCGGACTATCTAGATGATGACGACGACAACGATGGCATACCGGATGAGCTAGATGACGATAAACTCCACCCACAGCCGAAACAAAAATTAAGGGTAAGTTTTTTTTTTATTTTTAGTCTCTATATTTTAGCAATTTTGAAAGTTTTATAAAGAAATTTTTGCTTAGGTATTTTTTAATGAAATTATCTGCCTCACAAAAGCCAGCAATAACCCTGGTTTACATTTCATTCCAATTTCTAGAAGAAAACTGAACTTTGAAAAATTTTCTTCGCGAAGAGCTCGATATTTTATGAAGAAATGAAATCAAATAGGAACAAAGGTATTGTAAACAATGCAATATCTTTCAATAAAATGATTATTTAAATGTAATTGTTAGTCATTTGTACGTAGCCCAACATCTGTGTGGAAATAAATTAAATAAGTTTTATAATATTTGATTCAAGTAAGTTAGCAAATGATGTTAAAGTATTGTAATAATTAAAGTTCATGATTCAATTTTGCTTTAAGTTTTATCAATTATCCGCCAATAAAAGTTAAATTATTTTTTTAAATCAACTTTTTTAATTAGCGTCTCATGTTTTATTTCGATTTTTTAGATAATAATTTGTTCTTACTTAAATTATTATTCATTTCGAAATTTCATTTTATTTATTTCGTAAAAATAATAATAATTTTTACACCTTTTTGTTATTCGCAATGGTCTTTCATTCAATTAACGTTAAACAATATAATTCATTAAAGTGATTGATTTTGAAAAAAATTTAATAAAAAAAACTGCGTTTGTGGAGTCACTTGTTTATAGAATTTAATCGAAATGTATTAACATGAAATTAGATAGAGTAAAGATTTGCCAACCAACCAACAAACCTACCTACCTACCTACTACCTATCTACCTACCTACCTACCTACCTACCTACCTACCTACCTACCTACCTACCTACCTACCTAAATACCTACCTACCTACCTAAATACCTAAATACCTACATACATACGTACATGTTGAGCAATTCCTTGAGGTTGAACCGGGGTAAAACTCAGATGCTTCCTGTCGGTACATGGCAGCAGTTGTGAAGACTTAATATAAACTCGGTTGAAGTTGGTGACGTTAAAGTATCATTTGCTTCTACAGCCTTGAATTTGGGGGTATGGTTGGATAGCAGGCTCTCAATGAAAGATCAAATAAAGTCGCTATCAATTGCAAGTATGATGCATTTCAGAAAATTGTACAAGATTCGACACTATTTGAACAGATCTGGCATGGAAACACTGGTACATGCTTTTATTACATCCAGATTAGATTATTGTAACAGTTTATACTTTAAAATACCTGACAAGTCAATAGCTGTACTTCAGTCTATTCAAAATCGAGCTGCAAAACTTGTCACGAAAAATCTTAAGTTCGATCACGTGACTCCAATCTTGAATGACCTACACTGGCTAAAAATTGAAATAAGAATAATTTTCAAAATTGCTGTCTTAACGTTTCGGTCATTACATGGTTTAGCACCATAGTATTTGGCAGAAATGTTCATCAGAAAAACATCTGTGTTGGGTTCGCAGTTGAGATCAAATGACATGAACCTCCTGGTTGTGCCGACAACGAATTTACAGACCGGATCACGCAATATTGCTGTTGCTGGACCGGTGGTTTGGAACAGTCTACCGGCGTTTCTAAGAAGACCAGATTTATCATTGTTTTTGCTTAAAAAGGAGCTGAAGACTCATTTAACAATGTCTTTGTTTTCGTTTCATTAATGTTTGGTTTGTTCATTTATTTTAGGGAGCGCTTTTGAGATCTTTTTCTTGTAATTAGCGCTGTACAAATTGATTTGTAATAATAATAATAATACCTACCTACCTACATCTACATGTCTGCCTGCCTGTCTACCTCTACCTACCTACTTACCAACCCACCTACCTACCTACCTACCTACCTATCAACCCACCTACCTACCTACCTACCTACCTACCTATCAACCCACCTACCTACCTACCTATCTACCTACTACCTACTTACCTACCTATAAAAATGATTACTGATATTTATTTTGTAGTCGGCGTGTCAGTTTGCTTTGCGCTCTGGAGGAGGGCTTTGAATCAATTTTTCGGTATCCGGTGTAGTACATTATACAAATAATATCCAGAGGCGTAACGATGGAGGTGCTTTGAGACTGGAGTTCTCTACGATTAAAAAAATTAGCTAGGGCTAAGGCATAATTGAACAAATTCTCTTCATAAACTTCAACTGTTCCAGTCTGTTCCAGACTCGCGCAATATGAAAACACGAAAAAAACGCTGGTAATTTTCAGGCAAAGACATTGACTTCCATTTAATTTGTCAAAAGTATGTAGGATAAGCAGAAGTACTTGTATTAAATTCTCATGTTGCATTAAACTAAGATCAAATTTTACTTTTAAATTTTACCTAGAGGTGCTGAAACAGTTAATTATCAAGCATTATAAAGAAATAACCATGAAATTCTCCATCATTCGACAACGTCTCTGATTTTTAATAAATTATAACGACTTTAATAAATTTTACACATACAAAGTGTAAATTAAGATATATGATTTTTATTTTTATATAACTAAATTATATTTCACTATTTATATTAATTATACGTTACAGATGTATGATTAGTTCAATAGGCCTAATAAGTTTATTGGAATTTTATCTTTTGGCCTGATCAACAATCTTTTGCTAATAATATAAACATGGCGAGTGTGTTTTTTTTGTTTGGAGTTGTTCTAATTATTAATTACAAAACGATCGTTTGTAGTTGGGAAAAAAAATAAATTATTTGCAACTTTTTACTAAATTGATTAGTTGGTTGTTTAAAAATTTAAAAGAAATTGATGTAGGTGCCGCTGTTGATGAGTTATAATTAAATTAAATTAATTAACTAACTTCAATTTGAGGTTTGCATGAAATTAAAATGTGGTGACCGAACAATAAAAAATTTAATAAGCAGACGTGAATTTTTATCGCATTTTAAAAGGCAAATGAGCAGTTGAAAATGGATTACAAAGCGACGTCTGACTTGTATCTCAGTGCTGACGATGATTCTAACCCCACTTTTGATCAACAACACCAACAACATGAAAATAACAATGATAACAAATCTGGAGATTACCTATTTGGAAATACATTTAAAGAGGCCCTAGAAAAAAATACTGAAAACATCTCTACTGATTATACCTCCCACGACAATTCTTTTCTGGTTTCTGGCAGTAGTAGTAACAAAGTCAATGATGTCAATGAAGAAAATGAAGATGAAGAGGATGACAAAATGCATGTTGAAAATCAAATAAATTCTGACAAGGCACTCCATAATAACGAAAACAGCAATCATGATTCAAAATCCAAGTTTGATTACAAATCAATCACAAAAACAGAAAATGAATCATTTTTAAATTTCAATTCCATTTATAATAACAACAAAGACAACATGAACTTTAGCAACAACGAGTCCAATGATGATACAAAACATATCAGCTTCATAAAAGATGAAAGTTACCCAAGCTTTCAAGCAAACATTAAGGAAGATCCACATGTCACAGAATCTGCCATATCACCAAACAGGGTACACATCACCATTGAATCTCCATTCAGTGACAAACCGCTGTTGAAATCAGAAATAAATGCTACCAAAGAAGAAGTAAATACCACCAAAGATGATATATATAATGATGACACCGAAAATGATGATGATAACAATAATAACGACTTCAGCGAGGACCAGAAATGTAACAACAATAATAACGATAATGGTGATGTTGATCTGTTTCAAAATGAGAATAATGCCATGCAGGGTCTGTACAATTTCACGAACAAATTAGAAAGTGAATCCTACGACAACTCTGAAAGCAGTAACAACAACAATAATAACAGTAATAATAACAATAATCAAAACAAAAGTGATCTTGATGATGATGACATGGGTGATGAAGAAGAAGATGATGACAACAATGATCCAGACTACATCAACCCTGACGACGATAATGAAGATGGGGAAGATACTGATGTGGAGAAGCATGATAATGATGATGATGGGGATGCCAATGAAGATGGAGGTAATGAAATTTTTTTACATATAATATGCATGTGCACAGGAAAATATATTCATTTAGAAATATCACTGCATTAATAATTATATGGATGACAGTCTCAACCATAATTTTGTATATATATATTTATATATATATATATATACACATATGTATGTATGTATGTATGTATGTATGTATGTATGTATGTATGTATGTATGTATGTATGTATGTAAGTAGATTCTTAGATTCAAACTATTCAAAATATATTGATTTAAATCCAATATAGCTAATTCAGTAGAACAATTTTTACGGAAACCATATTGTCTATCACTAATTAAATTATAATTATCTAAAAAATTGGATAAACGATGATGGACAACTTTCTAAATAATTTTAGAAAAAGTAGAGATTATAGATATAGGTCTATAATGTATGTATGTATGTATGTATATATGTATGTATGTATGTATGTATGTGTGTGTGTGTGTGTGTGTGTGTGTGTGTGTGTGTGTGTGTGTGTGTGTGTGTGTATGTATGTGTATGTACGTACATGTATGTACGTACACATGTATGTACGTACACATGTATGTACATGGATGTATGTACATGTATGTATGTACATGTATGTATGCACATGTATGTATGTATGTACATGTATGTATGTATGTACATGTATGTATGTACATGTATAAATGTATGTATTACAAGGTAGTTAGTTTAGGTAACAAGGTGTGGCCTGTGTAAGATTAATAATTCTAGGTTTCTAAGTTGAAGAATGAGTTCCTATCATTAAGGAATAACAGATGAATGTTATCATGCAGTCAGATGTAGTGATAGTTGTTTGAAGAGTAACAAGTTTGTGTCATGACATTATTTTGTGATGTTTTATGAAGCATGGAAGAAGTGAGGCAGATAGGAATAGGAAAAGAAAATAATAGGGTGTGATGTGGCTAGATAGGGAAAAATAGTAAGAAGCAGGCTTTATCAACAATTGAAAATGTTTTCAGAACCCAGACGGGTTGAGGAGAAGAATGACAGACTGAGAATGGATATGTTGGTGAATGGGTCAGTGAATGCTGAAAATAAGTGAGATGTTCATAGTTGCTATAGGAGCTCTATTGTTTATCAGATGACTCCCAGTTCGTTTCAGTACTAGAGTGAAGATTCGCCAAAAGTTGTTGTAAAAGTGGAAAGATTTTATTTATGAAAAAATTATGGAAAATTAAAAGGAGGTTGATCAAAAGACTTGAGACAGAAATTTAAGAAAACATAATGAGTGGGGCTAATGGAATCAAGGAACATGGTTATAGGTCAATTTGGTTTGTCATGTATGGTTTTCATTTATGTTCTTTCAATTATTATGGTAATTATTTAGAAAATTGTTAATTTAAATTAATTTAATTGATAACGAACAAGGTGGTGCCATGAAGAGGATGGCAGATTTCTTACAATCATCGGACAAAAACTGCAGCAATGACAATGCTGATGGTGATGGCGATGGTGAGAACAATTTAGAGGGAGATAATAACAACGATGCATCTGACCAGACAAAACAACAAATTAAGAAGAAAAGGAAAAAAACAAAAAACAGGAAAAGATCAGCCGATAGCCTGGACAACACTGATGGAGGTGGTGCCAAAAAACCAAGAATGAAGAAGAAGAAGAGGAGAAGAGGTGAGACTTCTGCTGAGAAACGAGCCAAACTTGACAGAAAAAATTTGTTCGAACGAAAAAACATCAGGCAAGTTAATTTGTATCAAATGTCTCCTTTTACTTAATGAATGACATTTTACCAATAATTTCTCCAATCAATTTCACTGGCTATTAATGCACTTTTAATAATCCTGAATGAAATTTCATAATAATTTTCTATTAACAACTAAACTAACTAAATAATACAAAATTTATTGTGATGCATATACTTTTCAGTTTTTAGTTGAAACAGAGAATAATGTAAATTAAGTGGCACCAGTCATTTTTTGCAAACAATTATATAGAGAAATCCATCAGGTACCATATTTTAAGCATTCTGTAAAAAAGCAAAGGAAGTGTGTAAAGTTAAAATTAAAGGGATACATAACAACAAAAAAGTCGAATGAAAATAGTGGTGGATGATGATGATGATGATGATGAGGACAAAATTTAATGTGTTTGTGTGATGATGGTTTACGTAATTGAATTTTTTTTTGTAACAAAGTGAAAAATTTGTTGGATAACTATAAAAATTATTAAACTTAATCTAAAACTAAAACTTGATCGATCAATGCCAATGAGAATGTGTCCTCTGAATTCATTCAGTTTTATATTTTATAGCATGTTTATATTTAGAAACTGAAATTAATTGAGTGAGAAGATTTTATAGAAAATTAAATAAATGAATCTTTTCTGAATTTAAAATTAGTCACTCTATCATTTTTATCATTTTTTAGTTGTTGCTATTATTATTTTTAGTTTATTATCATTGAAACTATTAAAAGAAGCATCCAATAGTAGCTTCAATGAAATGAATGCAAATTACAGAAAAATCTTTGAAGATGAAAATTTGGACGAAGAAACGAAGGCAGCACAGAAGGAGGAGATGGAAAGGAAACAGCGTCTACTTGAAATTCAGGAGAAACTTCGACAGCAGGCAATGGAATTGAGGGCCCAGCGAGAAAAAGAGATGACTACACAGAAGGAGTTGGCAGCAAGTTTGGGCTCAGGAGATTCATCAGTGGCCGGCAACATGTTGAAGAAGGATATTGGATCTGCTTCACTGAAATCATTGCTTGAAGGTTTGTTTATTCTTTAGAATTAATGACAGACAATCGTATATTTATTGATTTATTTATCTTATTCTAATTTTCAGATAAATCTGATTCTTCATCTAATATAACGAACTTATTAGGACCAGGAAAAAGTCTTCTAATCAATAAACAGCCAAAACCGCCAGGTATTAATTACATTTTATTAATCCACTGTTACACCACAATGAGCAAATTATACACAGTTAACTTTGAATCAAGTTATGTAAAGTTTTTTTCACTATTTCACTGCACAGATGTTGTGGAGATATCTAGCTCATCAGACGACGAGAATGAAGAGGATGACGATGATTTGATAGTCATGTCAGAGGAGGAGGAGGAAGATGATGGCACTGACGACACAGAAAACAGTGGAAGTCATGTGAATGATGCAATGAACAGGCCGGACTCCAATGGTTGTGTCCTGGTTAATGTGGGCCACCCGCCAGACGAACCCGACATTTTTCTTGCTCCTCAATTGGCCAGTGCTGTCAAGCCACATCAGATAGGAGGCATCAGGTTCATGTACGATAACGTCGTCGAATCCATTGGACGTTACAAGACCAGCAATGGTTTTGGTTGCATTCTTGCACATAGTATGGGGCTTGGAAAAACAATACAGGTCTATATTTATTTTTCATTATTTCTATCAATTGCATTGAAATTGTGCTAAAATTGTGTTTCTAGGACTAATTTTAGTTTTTATAAAAGTAACTTAATTTTAATTAAACCATTTGCATAAGACTGGGTGTGTGTGGGTGTATGTTTTTGTATTTTTTGTATGTGCGAGCGATTGATTGATTGATTGATTGATTGATTGATTTATTGATTGATTGATTGATTTGCATAAGACTGTTTTGAATTAATAATATTGTTATTTTCATCTAGTTAAAATGTCTTAATCCAACAAATACAAACTATTCAGTTGACTATCCACCTTGTTACTAATTTATTGAAAATTTTAGACACATCTATTTTCTAACTTTTAAAATAAAAATTTGCAGGTAATTTCATTCGTCGACATCTTCCTGAGGCACACAGGAGCCAGGTCGGTCCTTGTCATCGTCCCCGTCAATACCCTGCAGAACTGGATCAATGAGTTCAACATGTGGTTGCCAGTGGTCGAGGAGGACGGTAACTACATGGGAGGCATAGATAGGGAGATACTGTGGCCTCGTGAGTTCAAACTCTATGTCATTAATGACAATCTCAAGACCACTAACAGTAGAACAAAGATTGTTGGTTCGTATCGGTGTTCACATTTTTGATTGTGTAATTAAATGCATTCTACTTTATCAGTTTGTCATTAATTGTTAGTGCTCTCTTGACTATATGCACAGGCTGTTGTAGAAATAACTATTTTATTTTGCTTAATTTATGAGCCATCATAAATGGAATTGATCATGTTATGTCAGGTTATCTTACGATAAAACATTGATTCTCATTTTTTTTACATAATGTTTGCCATCACAAACTCCATTATCATCTTCCTCACCTCCACCACCACGACGAACAGCGGACTGGCACGAGACAGGTGGCGTGTTGTTGTTGGGGTACGAGATGTATCGTCTGCTCATCAAAACCAGAGGAGTTCCTGCAAAGTCCCGCAAGGCAGCCAAGAAAACAAGCGCCGAACCCGTCGTCATCGACGTCGATGAAGAAGAAGTTAACAAGGAGATTGTGAAAAGTTAGTTTCATGAAACGAGCCTAAAATAGTTGAAAGGGGAGAACTGAAATTAGAAAATATAATTTTATTGTATGGAGTGATGCACGTTTTTGTGAGAGCACATCATTTGAACACAATTGTTATTTTCTATAATCTCATTTGTTCACTATGGTTCCATTTATAATTGTCACCTGCCACCACCTGGCTATCCTTCATCACGATAGATCTCCATGAAGCTCTCATGCGACCTGGACCCGACCTTGTCGTTTGTGATGAAGGTCACCGCATCAAGAACAGTCATGCCAGCATATCACAAGTCCTCAAGAATATCAGAACCAGGTTAATTTATTGATTGTTGAAGATTAATAGATTAGCTGGTTGATTTGTTTAATTTCAAATGATTGTTTGTTTAATTGATTTTTTGCTAATTCATTTATTTCCTCGAATAATAATTTGTTTGTTGAATCTTTAATAGGCGCAGAATAGTGTTGACCGGCTACCCCTTACAAAACAACCTCTTAGAGTACTGGTGCATGGTTGACTTTGTGAGGCCCAACTACCTGGGAACCAAGCAGGAATTTTGCAACATGTTTGAAAGACCTATCATGAATGGACAGTGTGCTGATAGCACACCAAAGGATGTCAAGTTGATGAGATTCAGAGCTCACGTACTGCATAGTTTGCTAGAAGGATTCGTTCAAAGGTCTGTCTTTCTACTTGTCTGCCTGTTTGCATTTACTTTTGTTCCATTAACACACATAAACATACTCACGCATGCTAAATTCCATTACGTACACAAACATTTTTTGAACAGACGTGGCCATGCAGTACTTCAAGCAGCTCTACCACAAAAGGAAGAGTATGTAATTTTTGTTCGACTCTCTCCCATTCAAAGAAAGCTGTACAATGAGTTCATGTCTGCTATCAAGGACAGTGGCAGTCTCACTAGTTGGACTAATTCCAACAATCCCATCAAGGCTTTTTCCGTCTGCTGCAAGGTTGCATGATTGAAATATTATTGAGTGAAAGAGTGAAAGATTAAAGATTGATCGAGTTAATTGTCAGATAGATGATGTTTGGATTTATGACAAATTTATGATTGAAATTTTTTCATCAGATATGGAACCATCCCGACATTCTATTCCAAGTACTGGAACAACGCAAAGACGATAACGACCTTGACCTTGATGAGGCAAAAGTCAACAACACTGACATCATGGCTCCTCCCACACCGACCACCAACAAGAGAACCAGCAAGAGAAGTAGCAGCAGGCTAACTAGTTCTGCTTCATGCAGCAGCATAGCCAGCAACTACAGTTGCCATAGTAACGCCAGTAGCAGTAGCTCTTACAGTAACAGTAATAATAGTTACAACAACAATAATTACAACAACAACAATTTTAATAGTTTCAATGACATGGGCTATGGCAATAATGGTGGCATGGGTATGGGAGGAATGCACATGTACGACAACATGAACTCACATCACCACTACAACAGCAACAACAACATGATGATGGGCAGCCATAGCAACAACCATAACATCATCAACAACAATCTCTGCATGGCTAACATGAGCATCAACAACAATTTCAATAGCATCTACAACAACTACAACAACTTTATCAACAACAACAATAATAATAATAACAACAACTTCAACAACAATAACATGAATGGCAATATGAACAGTAATATGAACAACAGCATGAACAATGGCATCAACAATATTAATCAACAGGATAACTCAGTTAATGCTGCCAACATCAGTAACATGAATAACATTTCAAACAACCCATTTGCCAACCAATCTGATAATGTCACAAGCTCCAATGCTATAACTACCACTGCCAACTCCTTTGTCAACACTTCTGCTAATACTCCAGTTACCACAGCCACTACTACTTCTGCTGCTGCTGCTACTTCTAATACAACCAATACTACAACTACCTCCACTACAAGTACTTCTTCAGAAGCTGCCACAGATGCTGACAAAAAAGCTGAAAATGCAAGTGAGGTTGTAAAAGAAGGTCAGAGCACCTCTTCAACTAATGAGAAGAAAGAATCTCAAGTCATCAGTTATGATTGGGTAAAATAATTTCTCCCCATTCAACTTTACTGCATTACTTTTTATTAACATAATTTTATTTTGTTATTTTTTTTCATACAATAACATAATGAATAGCTCAACTACCTTGGTTGTTCTCATTGTATCTGTGACTGCATTCCACATCGTTTTCGTTCTACATCGTATTCTACCACTCCTCACTCAGCTCCGTCATTTTTTATCTGATAATCAAAATTGTTTGCATTTAGAATTGGGTGTTCAACATTTCGCCTTTTTGCTCCTTTTTTGAAATAAAATGATCAGATTGAAATAAGATGATCAGATTGTCTCAGATATTTCTAGTGTCACCCGCAAGTTAATGCTTTGCAGTGTGGTTAATTTTGTGGATGAATTTGTACATCTATCTTATTCATCTGCATGTGCATTTTCATGTGTTACATGTCTGTTATTGCTACTTTTTTCATTTCTTTATTTTTGGATTTTTACTATCTTACTCTTAATGTATAACTTCAAATAGTTTTATTATCTCTTATCTAGCATAGAAACACAAAGTATAGTTAATAGTAGCATCCAATCAAGTAACTTATCAAAAAAATATTCATGAAACGATCATTCAAGATAACGCACCATGCATAATCTATTGATCACTATCAATATGTAATGATGATGAAGATGATGACGATGGTGGTGGTGATGATAATGGTGATGATGGTGGTGATGATGAACAAACAAGGCCATGGAAACGATGAAGGATTATGTAGCAGGCATCTTAGAACACAGTGGAAAGATGGTCTTCCTGTTGGATATAATCAATGAATCAGTACTTTTGGGAGATAAAATCCTTGTGTTCAGGTTTCTACTTTTAACTTGGTCCTCTTATTAATAATATTTACCGTGTGTATACGTTTCATTTATTCGTTGCTTTGTTGTGTTTGTGTACATCATGTTTATATTATATATTTCATATTATATATTTCATATTATTTTAGGAAGAGTGTAATAGACCTTTAACCTTTTCATATTGCTTATACATATGCCATGTTTGCTTGTGACATTGCAGCCAGAGTCTGTATACGTTGACACTGATTGAGGACTACCTATCGAGGCGTCGTGTTCCTGGCTACGATGAGTACTGGCAGAAGAACAGGAATTATTTCAGTATGCTGGGAGATAAATTACTTTATTTGCTGTCGCGTGACGTCATTCACATTAATTAATGTCATTCGTCGTCGTTTTGTTTATTATACTTTATATTATATTTTTAGACGAAAATATTATAACTTAATATATTTGCGATGTTGGTAATATCATTAACTCATGCTATTGCTATAAAGAACATTTGTTAATTCTTTATCCTGTTATCATTCGCACCTACTCACTCCAATATGTTTGAAATTTTTGTTTTGAGCTCAAATTTTTTGCGTCTACAAATTTGCCTCTACGTTATTTTAATGTGCAGCAATCTTGTAGGATGTTCTTCGTGATAAGAAAAATTGTTATTACAAAGTCTTCGCCACATTGCACTACTTTGTTACTTGTTTCTAGTTTTATTTTTAAATAAATTTTTATATATTTAGAGTGAGATAAATTATAAAGAATGTTGAATACGTCAGGATTGGATGGAGGGACAGCAGGTGTGGACAGAGAGAAGTTGATCAATCAATTCAACGATTACAACAACACCAGGATACATTTATTCCTTCTTTCGACCAGGTTTCCTTCTTAGTTTATTTTATTTTTTGTTGTTTTGCTTCTGCCTAGATTTGTCTGTTAACTAACCATTAGGTAAGATTAGTTTGATTTGTTTCTTGTATCAGCAGATGAACTAGCAGAGAAATATTCGAGTAGCATTGCCTTTTAATAATTTCGTTGTTTAAATCCGTCTAAGAGTAAATAGATGACTAATGGATTTTATAAATTAATTAATTAATTAATTAATTAATGAATGAATGAATAAACAGGGCAGGATGTTTGGGCATTAATTTGATTGGAGCCTGTCGGGTTGTCATCTTTGACGCTTCTTGGAACCCTTGCCACGATTGTCAGGCTGTTTGTCGAGTCTACAGGTCTGCAGTCTTTTTGCTTACGCTTCATTCCATTGAACTGCTCTTTTCTTTCTAATATTTTATTATCTATTTGGTATATTTTAATTAATTTCTTGATCAATCTTTGGCACGTGTTTTGTGCAGATATGGTCAGAACAAATGCTGCTTCGTATATCGCCTCGTGTCAGACAACACCATGGAGAAAAACATATACGACAGGCAGATCAACAAGCAGGGAATATCAGACAGAGTCGTCGACGAGTTGAATCCACAGAATCTCCTGTCCAAGAAGCAAGTCGACATGCTGATGAGATGCGAGGTTGGTTGGACTGTTTGGCTCATCGATTGAATGGACGAGTGGGTGCTGGAGGAAAAGGATTAACCAAAATTTAATAATGAATTTCATTTTATGAATTACTTTTTATAAATTTTCAAAATCTTCAATTTGTGTGTTAGTTGAAAAAAAAAATGAAAGAAAAATCTTTGATCGAATGATGTTATTGAATGAATTGATGATGAACGTTCAAGGAGACGGAATCGCCTGAAGTTAATCTGGAGGGTTGTGAAGAAAAATGCTCTGACCCACTTTTAATCCAGGTCATCAAGAGGAATAAACATTGGCTTACAAAGGTTTATTATTTTTACTACATTAGTTTGGAAATTTTTATTCATCATTTTTTTCCCTCATCACCTGGATTCAACAGTGGAATTCAACGTGATCGTTGTAGTCATTTTTATCATTGGCACCAGCATTTGCACACGATTTCATGGTAATCTTGATTAACGTTTGCAATCTTGGCATAATCACATTTCAGGAACCATTCACTCATGAATCTCTGCTACTGGATCGCAAGGATCAGAAGTTGACGAGGCACGAGAAGAGGCTGGCTAAGCAGGGATACGAGATGGAGAAGAAGATGAGTAGTTTGGGAATCAGGCAGTCCAGTCTCTATGGAAAGTCACTCGATGGCGTCTCCATGGTCCGGTTAGTCTCCTGGTTCTGATGAAAAGATGACGTTAATTGTTTTGAGCGTTACTTTGTAATGCTTCATACTTTATTTCTTATTCGTCATAGTAACCATTTTTTTCATCATTACCTTTGTTCTTATGTTTAGATTCGGTCAGCGTCCTGTGGCCAGCGTGCGTCCAATGATGTCGACAAACATTAGGGGTGGCCTGGCCCCCCGTGGTGTAACCAACAATCAATTTAGGGCCCCTGGTTTGAAGCCTGGAGTCTCCGTACAGCAGATTCAAACTACAACTGGTTGGTTGGAGGATGGTTGACTTTTAATTGAACAATGTTTCTCTTGTGAATGTGCAGGTTGAGGTTTAATTTCAATGAAGAGCAGACGTGCAAAAAGTAAGGTGAAATGCTAAAGCTAACCGTCATTGATACACTAGCAAAAAAGTGGAACATAAGTGGATGAAGATGAAGGAAAATAAATTAAGAAGCAGTTCAGTTTTAGAGGTTTAGATTGAGGAAAAATAGAGTAAGCTATCAATGCAGCAGTATCAATCAAGAAGATGAAAACTTCTTGAGAAAGAAGAGGGCTGCCAGGAGTAAATGTGGTCAGGAGGCATTGTTTAACTTTTTCATCAACTACTCTTGCTGCTTCATTTTTTATGATTGGTTTTTTAAATAAGGATTATTTTTCCTAACTGAATTTCCACGCTTCTACTTGATTGCCACTCCTCACAGACATAATCATCCCGGGAACGAACACTGTTTCCGATTCAGCTGGCAGCAAAATTCCAGCCGGTGAAAAAGTTTTAGTTATAAAAACTCCAAAAGGGGTTTACATCAGAACAAGTCATGGGAAAATATTTGCTGTCAGAACAGCCCCAAAACCTGGTGCAACCACAGCAGCTGCTTCAACGGCGACTGCATCCGCTGCAACAAATTCTTCAGCGTTATCTGGAACTACTACTACACAGGCCAGGGGTGGTACTATCAGTTCTGCTAAAAAAGTTGATGATGATGATAAAGTTATGGAAGTCGTTGATGATGATGATGATGAAGATGGAGTTTCCATTGTGAAAGGTAAGTTAATTGTATTTCGTGAATGAATCTGGTTAGGTGCTGCAAGTGAAAGTGTTAAAAATGCTGCAAGTGTGGTGTACTTGTCTGCGAATCATTTGTGAAGTCATGACTATAATTGATTATTTATTCTTTGCAGATGACACAAGCAAGAGCAACGCAAACAACGTAAGCAATAACAATACAGCATCACCACTATCGCAACAAGCTGCAGCTGGAGACTCTTCAAAAGTTGCAACGACTGCAACGGCCACAACCACCATAAGCGCGTTTGCTTCTGTAGCTAGCTCTGCAAGCAGTGTGACAGCGCAGTCAAACATCTCTGCAAACATTGTATTAACGACAACCAACAATCCGACTATCAGGATAGCTGAAGATTCATACTCCATTGGCAATCATTCTAAATATAACTGCGCTGCAACTGCATCAACAGCTACTGCACTTGCGTCATCGACAACAACAGGAAACAAAAATATTCTGCCAGTTGCTTCCACCTCTGCACAGCATCCCTCGCTTGCATCTCCCACCACCACTCCAATGCCAAAACAACAACAACCGCAAGATGCAACAGGCAGCGACAAACAACAAACAAACTGCAACAACAACATTAACAGTAGTAATAATAATAATAACAGTTTCATGAACAACAGTAACAAGTTTTCATCAAAATCAACAAATCCTCTTCCTGTCAGACCTGTGCTACCAATGCCCAACAACAATAATAATAATAATAACAACAGTAATAATAATTTTTCAAACAACAATAATAACAATGCAAATAAAAATACGAAAAAGACAAAAGATAAGGGTGACTTTTTGTCTCCATCATCATCATCTAGTCATCACGCCACCAAGGAAACTGGAAGTGTCACCCCCTTCAACAACAATCCTTCAACAACAAAACCAGTTGCTCAGCCACAGCCCGTTGCCAACAACAGCGCATCATCTCAGCAGCAACAACAACACAACTCTTTCATGGACTGGAACAAAAGACCGCCAGGCTCTTCGTCATCATCTGCCTCGTCAGCGTCTATGATGAACAAAGATTTCGATTCACTTTTTGGCATTCCACCTCCCAGCCCTGGTCATCTGGCTTCGTCATTTGATGGCGGAATGGGTGGACTGTTCCCTAACTATCTTAAACCATCGGCCGATCCTATGAGCGGATTTCCATCCTCCTTCTCATCCAACCACTCATCATCGCTTGCCGATCGACATTCATCCAAGAGTAATTTCACGGCGAATCCATTCTCATCCTCATCTTCATCCTCCTCCTTGCATCATCCGGTGCCAATGACACCATCCTACTTGCATCCTGGTATGAACCCGTACGCAATGCCTAATCCTTATTCCTGGATGACCAGTCCGATGTGGATGGACGCCCAACATCAACTACCTCACTTTCCAGGTTCTGACTATGGTTCAAACCCCGCTGCCGATGCTTTCGGGCTTGCTGGTAGCATTAGTGGCAGCGGTGGAAGTAGTCTCGGCAGCGACCTTTTGGGAATGGACAATTTTCCAGGTAGTGGGGGTAGTAGTGGTGTTGGGGGTCCGAGTGCAAGCGTTGGAAGTGGGTTGGCAGGGTTTGGTGGTCCTTTTGAGGATCGCAGTTTTTCATCACTTCTCATGGGAGAAGATGAAAATGCTTCACGGAACAGATCCAACAACAATAACAGCAGCAACAGTAGTAGCAGCGGTAGCAATCGTAACAACAGCAGCAGCAACAACAACATGAACTCTCCGGGGTACAGGCAAAGTTCATACCCTCACCCATCCCCTATGACTGGTTACCCCTATCATAATCCTTACTCGCCGTACCCACCCATGCCTCAGCCAGGCAGTTACTATCCAGGACCTGGATCCTCTTCGCACTCCGCCACCCCCGGAATGGGAAGAGGAAGCTACTTGGGACCCACATCTATGCACTACCCCCCTCAGCACCCTGGCCCGTTTATGCAGTCACCATATGATTTTGGGAGAAATATACTTCAGGGCTCCAGTAAAAAGGAAGGCTTTGATGAAAAGTAGATGGATGGATGGTGGGGTGCCGACGACGCTACGAGGGAGAGTTGTCTCAATGATATTATAGAGAATCTTTTTTTTCATCTATAAAATTATCTGTACTAACTGACTGACTGACTGGCTGCACTTTAGTTGGTAGGGTTGAAATCTCTTATTGATTTCATAATTTATTCGTTCGTTGTTTACTACTTTTGATCAGTTAGCGATTGGTTGGTTAGTTGATTGATTGATCGATTGGTTGATTGATTTATTTATTGATTGATTTATTGATTGATTGATTAGTTGATTGATTAGTTGATTGATTAGTTGATTGATTAGTTGATTGATTAGTTGATTGATCGATTAATTAATCTTCTATTTCTTTGGTTGTTTTTTGATTGGTCGGTTGTCGACCAGCTGAGCTATGTTGGTACTTATAAACAGAAGATGATGTTTGTTTACGATGGAATGTGTATTGTATATGTGTCATTACATCTCGTTTGTTTGTTCGTCAGTCAATCAATTAATTAATTAAATGATTAATTAATTAACATCACTTCCAACCAATTCACTTAACGGATATAATTATATTATGTAGCTATCGTGCTTGTCGTCTATGAATAAATAAATAAATAAATAAATTCATGTATAAATATTATTCTGTTTATACATGAATATTTATATATATATATATATATATATATATATTTGTGTGTGTGTGAGTGTGTCTGTCCGTCTGTCTGTCTGTCTGGGTGTCTGTATCTGTGTGTGCTTATTGATTGTTAGAATGAATGAATTATAAGAGGAATGCATGCTTGCAATGCAAGACTTATAATCTTAGACAATAACATTTAACTATTGTCGTGTTATATATACATATATATATATATACTATATATCATATATAAATATATATATATATATCTGTCCGTGTGTTTTTTTAATATTTAGTTATCTGTGCAAGTCTGCACAGCATTATAGCCAATGGTACTTGCAGCTTACTCTTGGACAAATTATGTGTATGTGCATATAAACGCATATACATACATATATATATATATATTTATATATATTGGGCTTAGACTATCATAAATACAATTATTTATAAAGATCACTGCGTATTCGGCATTATTCAACTTGTAGTTGAGTTTCTCAATTTTTCTAACGAGACTTTTATCATCTTGATGAAGTTTATTAAGGTTAAATAAAAAAACTTTTAATATTTGACATTTTTGACAAAACTGTATTAACTATATTATTATTATATCATTATTATTAATAACGTTATTAATAATGTTAATAGAAATATAATAATATATTAATAAAAAAATTGAGAAACTCAACAACAAGTTGAATAATGCCGAAAACGCAGTAATCTTTATAAATAATTGTATATAATATATATGTGTGTGTGTTTTTAGTGTGTATACAAATATTTGTATATGTATGTATATATCTAGATTTCATCATTCATATATATATGTATATATATATATATACATATATATATATATATATATATAAACATATGTATGTATGTATATAATTATTTCTTTCCCATCATCGTCTTTATCTTTTCAACCATATAATCCATCCTCCAAGCGTGTTGTTGTAAGAATGTTGTGCGCGTGTGTGCCTGCGTGCGTGCGTGTGTCTGTGTTATTTACAACAATATATAGTTTTCGAGTTATTACTTTAGTTTGTTGTTGTGATTTTTTTTATTATTAATCTTTATAATCATATTCCGTGTCAATTGCTAGGATTATTATTAAGATTATTGTTGATATTATTATTGTCAAGTTGTTTTTATTATTTATTATTATTGTTATTTGTTCATCATGTGCTGAGTTTATACTTTTATAACCCTCTTCTTCGAGATCGTTTGCGTATGTGAGTCTGTGTATGTGTTAATGTTACTCTGTGTGAAGGTGTGTGTGTGTGTGTGGATGTGCGTTTGTGTGTGAACTTAACTTGTGCGCGTATGTGCATGTTTATTCGATACAGAAGAAATCCCGATAACGCTATGTAGCTACATATAAAATTACAACCGTGCAAGCATACCAGCTGGGTGTGTTTGTGTTTTTGTATGTGTATATTATATATATATATATGTGTGTGTGTGTTTGTGTGTGTATGTGTGTGCGCGCGCAAGCACTGAAATTATTGGACATTTTTCTGTTGACTAAGAACCATAATTCTTTTTATTTATTTTACTATTTATTTCCTCCTACAATAATGACGATGAATGATAATATTGATAATAATTAATAATAATGTTAATTAATAAATAATAATTATAGTAATTATGAAATGACGAAATTGACAGCTATGAAGTATTCAGTTAACACTATCATTATTCATGTTGTTGTTTTGGAATTTTATATCAAGTAATTATTCCCTTAAAATTTTAGACCACTAAATGTCTACATATTATTATTATTGTTATTATTATTATAGATATTGTACTTTGCTGTCTTTGTAAGTATTTGTAAGTTATTATTTGTTTGTTTAATATTATTATTATCGTTATTATTATTATTATTATTAATTATTATTAATTATTGCCGTTTTAGTTTATACACAGATTTTACTGAGAAATTAATAAATACGGAGCCGTTTATTTAACAGTTAAGCTATTTGTGCGTACAACTAAATTTATAGCGTGTTTAGGTATTGGTATGTATATCGTTTGTATGTTTGTGTTTGTATGTATGTATGTATGTATATGTATATATATATATATATATATATATATATATATATATATATATATATATATTGTCTGTATGTCTCTCTGTATGTATATATATTTTGTATGATAAAATGATTTGTACATATATGGTTTTTCAATCTTACATCAACTGTTCCTTTAAAAGATGTTTTTAGTTTTAATTATAAAGCTCCGTTCATGAATTAGTGAGCTATAAATATTAACGCCATTGTCTTCATCACCGTCATTACCAGCTGATGTTGGTGGTGATTATTGCGGTAGCACTGATGATGATGATGATGTCAAAATGATGATGATGATAATGATCTACGTCGCTGTAAGGAGAGTTATGATTATGATCATTTCTTAAATATCCTCATTCAACCGTTTATTATTAATAATTAGTATTGTCTCTTTATGTTTCATTTTATTGATTATTAGATTAAATAAATTAATTGTGTGTTTTTTATTTATATCAATTTCCATATCTGGGGAGTAGTTAATTTCCTTGCTTCCATCGGATGTATTAGAGTGTGAGGTTGATAACTTTCTTGGCATCTGGCCTGGAGTTCTCGCCGCAACAAACTACCTTTCGAAATGGCACATCCCAAAAATTATACATCGTTCCGCAAACGATAACACTGGACAAATTTGGACTCATTAATTTTATTTTTACATTTCAATAATAATTAAAATTCTAATTAATTATGAATAATATTGGCGGTCGTTTTTTTATCAATTTACTACTGATGTTTGACTTGTTAACTAAATTAAATTTGGCATTGGACCAGCTAGCAAAAAGTTTTCATTTAAAAGTCGGCGGCTTGTTCCTCCTGCCAAATTACTTGCTAAAAAAGATCCATGTCAAAAGCAACATAAGCGCGCAATGGTTTGTTTTTTTCATTCTCGTTTGTGGAATTTTTTGTACAGTGGTTAAAGCATTTACAGGGAATGCGTCTGTCTGTGTCTGTACGTGGTAATCTGAGTCGACCAGGAAAGTCAATATTATTTATTAAAATTTATAACATGCTTTGATGATAACCGAAACAAATATCTCCGGAATGGAGTTGACGGACGTGTCAGCCGCTAAAGTTGTCATTCGTTAGCTTATCAACATTTGTTTTGTAGTGTACCTGTCTGTAACGATCGATTGCCTGTGCCACATAAATTCGACTGGTGCCTTCAATTCAAATGATGTTTCTACTGGCACGAACCTTGGCAGGGCGTTCTTTATTATATATTATGCCACATTTATGTATGGAATGAAGGCCGTTACCGATCCCTAGACAAAGAGCTTATTTGTTTTTTTGACAACAAATTACTGCTGAAAAAAATTTAATGTCAAACGCTGACCACATTTTAAATTATTTGACGTCACGTCAGTTGACTATTTTTTCAGCTTTACAAATTACAATTCTTTGTGTAACACAGAAACATGAATTAGTAAGAATTTAAGAATTGAACTTTACTAATTGATTTGAACGTTGGCCTGGAAAGCATTTGCGTCGTTTGTGTAATCAGCCGCAGCGAAACAGATGCCAGGAGGGTGGCTGTAACTCCTCAAATTTCTTCAAACATTGTGTAAAATAAACATTGCACAACACTGATGTACAAATTTCGAAAAAATCAACACTAAATTTTGATTCGGTAGCTAAAATTAACTAATTTATTAAAAGATATACACGTTTTTGCTTACAAAACAAAGTGAACACAACCCGCATTCAAAGGTTTTATTAAAAGGATTAAAAACCTATTCATCTGTTAATTGGTTGAAATTCTACTGTTAGTTACATCAATTAATTTAAACGTCATTAATCAAAAATCTGTAATATGTGTGGGGGCCAAACACCGGCCCTTCAAACTGACTGGTCTTAGACATATGTCTCACTCACCTGCCTGTTGATTAGTTCAGCCCTCTTGGAACAGACATAAGGTTTGTATTTAACGATATTTTATCATTCTTATCCTACGTAGAGTAGATGCATGTTAAGATTATGAACAGAACATGTCATGCAGAGTTAGGTAGTGTGGTATGTGTTATGGTGTTTGAACGTGCTCGGATGAACGTTTTAAAGTGTTTAAATGAGTGTGCCTCTCCATGAAAATGCCTCGCGCAGTTTTATTTTCATTAATATGTATGACGTCTATTGAAAAAATAGTGTAATTGAAGGTAACAATACTGCTTGCGAAAGTGCATTAAAACTGTTTATAAATCTTACTACGATTGTGATTTATTGCAAATGTTTAATCAATGAAACTTTAAATGTCAAATTATTTTTTTCTATATATTTCTGTTTTTTTTTCTAATCGTCCATTG